AGTGGAAGCTAGAGTGACTGCCTCTGGAATGAAAAGGAAGTGGGAACTTCTCTGAAAGTGAAAGTGTGGGGTCCCGGCGGAGGGCAGGGCTGTGGGTGGGGCCGGGTGGGCCTGGCAGGCACTGACCATGGCTGGGAAGTCCCAGCTGTTAGTCACTCGCTCGGGCTGCTCCGGAGGCCCCATGGCCAGGGCCTGACTCTGAAGGCCCCACGGGCCAGCTTCTCAGGTGGCTGCATTCTTCCTGGGCCGAGGCTGCGTGCTCAGCAGGTATGTCCCGGGAAGGTGGAGCAGGAGGGCATGGGGTGCTGTGGGCGGGCGGGGGCGACTCTCAGGCCTGAGGACCATTCCGGCTCTGTGTGTGGCCTTCCAGGCCAAGGGCCTCACTCAGAGCCCAGGCTGCCCGGGCCAGAGCAGCAGCACAAATCACAGCGGACACACACGCACACACTCACACCCGACACACAGCAGACACACTCAGGCAAGAAGCACAGACAGACAGACACAGAGACGGCCTGCAGGCGCAGACAGACCCAGCCCGCTAGGGCACACTCCGGGGCAGCGTCACACATACAGGGAGACGCTCTCAGGCCGTCGCTCAGGTGTGTGAATGCGGTGCGCTCAAGTGTGCAGGGGCCAGTTGCTCACGCCAGCGTCAGGTTCGCCTTCCTGGTTTCCCCCGGAGACTGCGGAGTACCAGCTGTGGCTGGGGGCTGAGTCCGGCCCACCCGCTGCCTGGGGCTCTCCTGGCCTCCAGGCTCGGTAACTGTCCCTCTGTCAAGTCAAGGCAGGTGCGCCCAGGCCCGGAGCAGGAGGGGCCGACTGTGGTAGGGGCTCAGCTGGTCAGGGAAGGCTTCTCAGGGGAGGAGGCATTTCTGCTGAGCTTTCAATAAGTTGACATTGTAGGCAGAAAGGACAGTGCAAAGGTATGGAGGAGAGGTGGGCACTTCTGAGTGATCAGAGTGCAGGAAGCCAGACGCGTCATTAGAAGAGGCCTTGAATCCCAAGCTAAGGAGGGCGCTGTGCCTCTTCCGAGGGCGAGGGCGGCTCAGGCGGCTTGTGCTCTGCTGCTCCTGTGAAGGGAAGTGTTGTAAGTGGCTCTCAGAGGCTTTGCTAGGTTATGGAAAAGTGTTGGCTGTATTTACATAATCAATCAAGGCACACAACTTACTAAGCCTTTTTATTAGCTCCAATAATTTTTAGTCTCAGATTTTCTAAGTCAATAATCATGTCACCTATGAATAATGACAGTTTAATCTGCTCCTTCCCAGTGTTTATAGTTCTTATTTATTTCTCTTTCCTTATTGCCTTAACTAGTTCTTCCAAGCAAATGTTGAGGAGCAGGAGTGGTGAGAACACACCCCCTTGTCATTTGCCTTATTTTGAGGGGCCAGGAGGAAAAGAGAAGCTGCAAGGAAAGTTTTCAAAGGCGGTTTACGGGGCCAGGTGCGGTGGCTCGCTCCTGTAATCCCAGCACTTTGGGAGGCTCAGGCAGGAGGATCATTGGAGGCCAGGAGTTTGAGACCAGCCTGGGCAACATAGTGAGACCCCGTTTCTACAAAAAATAAAAAAATTAGCCATGCATGGAGTTGTGCACCTGTAGTCCCAGCTACTTGGGAGGCTGAGGTGGGGAAGTACTGCTTGAGTCCAGGAGTTCGAGGCTGCAGTGAGCTGTGATCGCACCCCTGCACCCCAGCAGGGTGAAGTGACACAGCAAGACCTTGTCTCTTAAAAACAATAAACAAAGGAGGTTTACATTTTGGCAAGATTCTTATGACTGATCCTAGGAGGTGGCATTGAGGGCGCCTGGGAAGGAGAGCAGCTCCGAGGCTGTGATCAGGGGAGGTGGTGGCAGGTGGGGATGTGAGAGGGGACCAGCCCCGCCAGGGCTTGGGCCCAGGGTGCAGTATAGGCAGTCACCCCAGAGGCTCCTTTTGAGCATTGAGGAGTGGAGTGAAAACAGTCCCAGCGTAGGTGGGAGGCTGGGAGCACTGTGGCGTGGCCAGAGGATGAGGAGCGGCTGCAGGAGAGGTCTGGGGGAAAGCGGGGAGGAGAAGCCGAGGCTGGGGCAGGCAGGGTGGGGAAGTCCAGGCTTGACTTCTCGGTCACGGCTAGGGTGGCCCAGGGTGGGAACTCTCAGTGACTGTGTCTCTGGCTGGCTTCCTGCCCCTGCTGGGCCCACAAAGGGTGTGTTAGCCTGACTTGGGGAGAGTAGGACCTGGGGCTCAGGACGGGTTTGGTCTCCAGGGCCTTGCAGTCAGGGAGCGGCAGCACAGGAGCCGGCCCCCCTGGACCTTCCGGACACCGGGACAGAGAGACTCAGAGAGAAAGAGAGCCAGAGAGAGTCCACGGGTTGTGGAAAGGCAGGCACAGGAACAGGGACAGGCCAAGCGAGAGCCTCTGGAGGTGGAGGGGGGAGTGGAGAGGGGCCTTCAGGTCTCAGCCTGCAGGCCCTAGCGCGGCAGCAGGCAGGCCAGCCCAGGGAGGTGGGGCGACCCTGACATCCATGTGTCCCCCATTCTAGGCTGTGCTCTGCGGTGAGGGGGGTAGATGGACAGAGGCTGCCAGGCCAGGGCAGGGGGCCAGGTCACCACAGGGACAGTCCCGTGTGCCACTGAGCAGACAGATGGTGACAGTGGGTGGTGCCAGGAATCTGTACCCAACGTCCTGAAACCCAGATCA